CGGAAACGCTCGTTTACATGAAGTTTATTTTAAAAAAATTAAACAATTTATAAATTATATTTTCTCTTTTCAATTCAATTTTATTATAGATACCAGTGAGCAGGAAAAGATCAACAACGGATCGTTTGAATGTTGCACAATGGCCAAGTGTTCTTCCTCTAGCAGATAAAACTGTTCATTGCGTATGGTTCAAAGATTATTCAATAGTATTGTTGAAATTTTACAAAATTTTTTGATTTAAAAAAAAAAATGAAATAGTATATGAAACAATTGATTCCTGATAAAATCACAGAATGACTAATTATTGATAATTAATTTGCAGGATGATCGTTGCTTAGAAAGTATGTTCAAAGCACAAAGTATGAAACCAATGCATGGAAATTGTTTTCTAAGTGTTCAAATGGATGTAACAGCACATCATCGGCAACAAGTTGTTGAATGGATATATGATGTAAATTTTTTTCATAGATTTGTATTCTCCTTTCTTTTCTTTTTTTTTTTCTGAAATTTGAATTTCTAGTTTAAGAAATATATTTATTAGTTGCAAAAATTTTCCATTTTGAATTTAAAACAAACTAAATATTTTGCCTGTAGGAATGGCAGATGGTAGTAGAAAAAAGAAAGATGCCAATTGTATTCATTATATGGATAATTTTCATCAACAAATCGACTTTTAACTCCTTCTTCTACTTCTTCCATCTATATCTATATCTATTTTAGGTATGTAAAGAGGAATATTGTGAGCCCGATGTTTTCTTACTAGCAGTATCATTAGTGGATCGTTTTCTTAGTGTTCAATCCTTTCATCGTAACAATTTGCAAGCATTAGCCGGTGCATGTTTATTTGTATCAAGTAAGGTGAAAGCACCGCAACCGTTAAATGCTGAAAGGATTGCTTACTATACGGATGGTGCGGTACGAATGGATCAAATTTTGGTAATTATAAAAAATTTTCATTTGATCGCTTTTTCTTTCTGCACTTTTCTTTTTTTTTTTCGTTTTTTTTTTAGCCTTAAAGTTTAATTTTTGTTTGAGAAAAAATCTGAATTATTATTCGTATTTTTCATTTCTTTTTTTTTTTTTTTTTTAACGGTAAAATGTGGATAATTTCAAAAAGGAAAAATATCTCTCAAAAAATCAAAGTTCGTATATGTAAATTGAAATGGTTGAGTTGTAAATGTAAAATTTACTTTAGCAAGGCGAATTACTGGTGTTAAATAAGTTAAATTGGGATGTTTCAACGTCGACAGCACTTGATTTTCTTGATCAGGTTGCTGCTCGTTATAGTGATCTACATCCGTTATCCGAAGATAGTCGTCTTGCAGCACATCGGATACAATTGGGTTAGTTTTACTACATGTTATTTCATTCTATAAATACAAATAATTGTGTATTCATTAATCGACAAAGACATATATCTTTCATTTATGCACTTTTTCTTTTTATCTAAATTTTTGCATGAATTGCAATTTGCAATACATATAACATGGAATTTGCAAGTTTTTCATCTAACATTTTATCATTTGGAACATATTCCTTTCATAATTTATTAGAAGATAAATAGCTTTGATATATGTGCATGCTTGCATTTGCGAAATACTTGAAAGATACTTGAAATCATTTTCAGGTAACAAACGCATTAATCTTTGTCATGTATCACACTTCTTTATTATTTCATTAAATGCTTAATAGATTATCAGAATTGAAGAAATCTTATCATGATTTCTGGAAGGGGGAAAAAAATGATTTGGTAGAAAGAAAGATTTACAAAAGAGAGCAGATGAAGAGTAAACGTTAAGTAAAGAAAGAAGAGAGGAAAATTATAAAGTTACATATGATCAAAGATTATTATAATTCGTTTTTTTTTTTTTTTTAATCTTGACAAATAATACAATTTTAAAAGAGATTCTCTCAAAAATATGTTCCATTTTTGGATCAATCCAAATTTTATTTCCTTACAAATGATCCTTTTCTTCCGGTCAATCATACGAATTCTTTTTTTACCGTTAAAATGCGAAACTTGTGGATTTTATTGTTCATTGCTATCAAACTTACCCAATTGGTATGTTTGATTGAAATATGCAAAACGATCAACATCCATGACAATAGCATTATGCAATAGGTGTTCCTCATTCCTTGAAGTTGTTGTCCGTTGTTCGATGTAGTTCGCACGCTTCATTGCATTTTCTTTTTTTTTTTTGAATGGTAAGTATTCTGGTCGTAGGGCATTTTACGGATAGTAGAAGTGATAGTAACAGTAGTAGGAGAAGAAAAAAAAATGGAGGAGTAGCAGTGATAGTAGTAGGTTACCTTTGTTATACCAAGAAGTAAACCTCTTGGGTTATTCAAAATTGCTTAAACTCATTTCTTTTATCATTCCTCTCTTTACCATACTTCTCTCTTCCCTCATCCTTTTTTTTTTTTCTTCCCTTTTCCTTTTTCCCTTCTGTTGTTGTGATTTGTTAGTTAAACGAGAAATGAAAGAGGGAAATCCTCCGGCTCCCTTTTAAAAAAAAAAAAAAAAAGAAGTAGAAGAAAATAGATGGTAAAATAGGAGACAGGATGAGTTACGTTTGCCCTTTTACATCGTCTTTCCCTTGTTCCCTTTTTAGCTGGTGTCCCGTTCGACCCTGTTCACCCTTATCCCACATTTTTGTTCCGGTGAATTTTTCATTAAAAAGGTGTTGGGTATGTTTGCTTGCCACCAGCCTTGGTACCCTGGTACCATTGTTTGCAATAAAAATGGAATGAGAAAATGACGGGAAGAGTTGAGTTGGACTGAGAGAGAGAGAAAGAAAGGTATGGAAGGGGATAAGCAAGCATAAAATGCTGGAAAAAAAAAATTGTGGAAAAAAATATTTTTTTAAAAGTTTATTTAATTTATTATCTCATATCATTTCTTATTGAAATTGTTCTCTCTTCTTTTATTTCATAAATTTTCATCTTAATAATATTTATTATTTGAAAAATTATGAAATATAATGATGAAAGAGATTTATTGAAATGAAATGATAACGAATTATTACCGCTTTTAAGATATTCTTTCTGTATGAATATTTTAACATTTTTAATTACAACGGATATCCTTTCGTTAAAAGAATGAATAAGCAAGCATTCTGCTGTTCATCGTTCCGTTGATTGATGAACCGGATTAAGGAAATTGTTTAAAAACGGATGTATGCATTATTGTACCATCTGATAATAGCATTAGTAGTAGTAGTAGTAGTAATAGTAATAATAATAATATTAATAATGATAGTAGTAGTAGTAGTAGTAGTAGTAGTAGTAGTAGTAATAGTAATAATAATAATAATGCTAATAGTAGTAGTAGTAGTGGTAGTAGTAGTTAGTTAGTATATATATATACCTATAAAATTTTAACGAAGAAAAAAAGTATCAATTATAAGAATATTATGAGGATAATCAATATGATCTATTCAAAATGTTAACAATTTTTGAAGGACATCAAATTTTTATAAGTGTTAGTATAGTTGATAGTGATAGTAATTGTAGTATGGTAATTAGTTATCTAAGTATCAAAATAAATGACAATTTCTTTCTTTCCTCTTTTTTTTTTTTTCATTGTATTGGGTCAAAGTAATTTGCATAATAATTAATCGGAAAATGTTTTCTGAAGTAATCTAAAAATGGGGATATTTTTTTTTTGTCTCGAATAGATAGGTTAGTAATACAAATCCGGGAAATAAAAAGAAAGGTAGTAATTTTGGGAGTATGAAATAGTTATACAATGAAATGTTAGTTATATCATACCGTGAATTGTGTGAGGTCCAAATAAAAGTCAAATAATGGATGGTTGAAATGAATAATTTGAAAAGAATTTTTCAACTTTTTTTTTTTCTTTTAGTTAACTTTTTACCTCTTTTTTTTCTTTTTTTTTTGTCTATCTAAACCCTTTTAAACTATGCGTACATTAAGTAGTAGTGAAGCAATGAGATGGAATGA